TATTCAAATTTAAATTAAAATTACAATGAAGAAAAATTAAATTTAAAAATGACCAATAATATTTCATCAAAATTAAGAACTCTGTTCTTTGAAAGACACTGTTAAGAAAATAAATTGACAAGCCACAGAATGAGAGAAAAAATTTTGCAAAAGCACATATATGATAAAATACTTTCAATCCAGAATATATAAATAACTCTCAAAACTCAGTAATAAGAAAACTAACAACCCAACTAAAATTGGGCAAAATATTTGAATAGGCACCTCATTAAAGATAGCGTATGGATGACAAGCAAGCACAGGAAAAGATGCTCAGCATCATTAGTCATTAGGGAAATGTAAATAAAAATCATGAGATACTACTTTATACTCTCTAGGATGGTTATAAAAAAAAAGATAGATAATAAGTGCTGGTGAAGACATGCAGAAACTAGACTCCTATACATTGCTGGTGGGAATGTAAAACCACTTGGGAAAATAATTTGAGCCTGGCCAGTGTGGTTCAGTTGGTTGAGCATCCTCCCATACACAAAGAGGTCACTGGCTTTAATTTCCCATCAGGGCACATGCCCCAGTTGCAGCTTAGATCCCCAGTAGGGGATATGCAGGAGGCAGCCTATGGATGTTTCTGTCTTTATCTCCCTCTCCCTTCCTCTCTCTCTAAAAAAATAATAAAACCATATTTAAAAAATAATTCGACAGTTTCTTAAGTTAAACATATACCTAAAATATGACCCAGCCATTCAACACTTAAGTATTTACTCCAAGGAAATGAAAGTATAAGTCCACATAAAGCCTTGTACATAAATGTTTACAGAAGCTTTGTTTGTATAGCTAAAACCTGGAACTATCCAAATATACATTAATAGATAAATGGATAAACAAACTGTGGTTTATCTATATGTTGGAATACTGGTCAGCAATGAAATGAACTAATGATATATGCAAAAACTGGGATGAATCTCAAAGTAATTATACTGCATTTAAAAAGCCACACAAAAAAGAATACACAGTATGATTCTATTTATATAAAATTCTAGAGAATGCAAATTAATCTATAGTTGCTTAGGAACAAGGAGGGAACAAAGGGGTTAAAAAGGGACATGATGAAACTTTGGGGGGATGATAAATATATTCATTATCTTGACTGTGGTAATGGTTTCACAGGTGTATACATATGTCAAAACTTATTGATTTATATACTTTAAATATGTATAATTTATTGTATGTTAATTATACCTCAGTTAAGTTATTAAAACTTTTTAGTTCCTTAGTTGTACCAGCCACGTTTCAAGTGCTCAGTAGCCATATGTAGCTAGTAGCTATCGAATTGAACATTGTAGATAAAGGGCAGTTCCATCATCATGTAAAGTTCTAGCCAACAGGGATGCTCTAGACTAGTGGCCAGTAAACTGTACACCAAGGACCTCACCTGTTTTCTAAATAAAGTTTTACTGGAACACATCTATGCCAATTCATTTTTATATGGTCTCTGGCTGCTTTAGCACAACCATGGCAGAGTGGATAGCTGTAGCAGAGACCTTATAGTTTATAAACCTAATTATTTACTATCTGGCTTTTCAAGGTTTGCTGACCCTGCTCTAAACCATAAACTCTGAATACAATGGCCAATATCTGTGCTGTTGACTGCTGTACATAACCCAACTAATATTGAGTTCCTAATATATAGCACTGTCCTACGCACTGGGGAGGCAACCTTGAACAATACAGATAAATTCCTATTCTCATAGTTTTAACAATCTGGTGAGGGATTCAAGTAACATAACAAGGAAATGAATAAGAAAATACCAGGCAAGGATGAATGCTAAGATAAAAATATAATAAAATATAGAGATGATTAAGGGGCAACTTCTACTTAGCTGGTTAGGACAGGCCTCTGGGAGGACCTGAAGTCTGAACAGTAGAAAAGAGTCAATACTGCAAATACCTGTGGCAGAAGCAGAGAGAAGAACAAAACCAAGGCCTCAGAATAGAAATGAATCTGATGACTTGGTGTTAGAAAAAGAAGGCCCATATAGCTGGAGAATACAACATGGTGGCAAAAACAGATAAGGCTGAAGAAGCCGAGAGGCCTAAGAGAAGGCGTCTGAATTTTATTCTAAATATGATGGAAAGCCATTACAGGTTTTTCAGTAGGTAAGCAACATGATCAATTTATATTTTTAAAGATCATTCTGGTCCTGCTAAATGAAGATTGAATCAGGGAAGAGCAAGAAAGGTGTTAAAACAGATTAGGCAGTTTTTGCAAAGGTACAAGTGAAAGCTGATGGTAGTTTGGCTTGGGCCACAGTGGCAGCAGTGGAGAAGTGGATAAATTCAAAATATGTTTTGAAGTAACATCTGACTGGCCTTTCTAATGGTTGTTGAGGAAATGAGAGAAGTTGAAAATGAATTCTAGATTTTTGGTTTGAACAACTGGGACACAGTAGTATAAATTAAAGATATGGGGGAATTACAAACAATAAGAGTTAACATGTACTGAGGGTTTGTCAATATTCATTCAATTTCACATTTAATTTTCCCAGCAATCTTGAGGAGATAAGTATTATTATTATTTTCATTTTACAATTAGAAAACTAAAAAGGTTAGGTAACTTACCTAGGTCAGAAATCTAGTACCAACACAATGGAGACTGAAACCTAGGTCATCACACTCTAAATTCTACCACACTTGATAAAATGCCCCAGTGACAGTAGTTTCTGAGGCTAGGATCTGCATTTTAGGCAATGGCAGTAGCACTACAACCACAAAAGCAGACATTTAAAAAAAAAAATGCTCATGACTCATAAAGACTACCAATCACCCAAAAGGCAGGATGAAACACAAAAAAGGATCAATCTGGTGAGTATTTGGTACACATGAAGACTGGTTCATAAGAGTGTAAATGAGCTACACTTTGGAAATACTTTATTTTTACTTCCTATTGCTAATATGGAGGTCTGAAGTCAAACTCATATGTCTACTAATGTTTAAAACATACAGAGATGCACTTTTCTGGAAAACATATTCAAAGCAAAATAAAACAGTTCTTCAACCTCATCCCTACTCCCAAGGGAGTAAAAAGCTGTAGAAACACGAGATTGGCAAAATCTATTTCCTTTCAAAAAAGGAGGAGATTGGCAATGTAACAACCCAGTACCATGTATAATGGACAGCATCTTAAGGACAATGGCTTCAGATGCAAAGTGACCTTTCATTTATTTGACAAGTACTATCTGATAAACAACCTGGCCGCTATAATGCTGTCTCCCTTTGCCTGTATGCTTAACCTTAATTACCCTTAGAAAAAAGGAAAAGAACTGTTCAAGAATATAAATCATTGACTTCCCCCAATAAAAATTACTTTAAAACCTATGCCAATTTCTGAACATTCATTGACCTTCCAAAATGTAGTATTAACCTGGTAAATTCTCTCTCTCTCTCTCTCTCTCTCTCTCTCTCTCTCACACACACACACAAACACACACACACACACACAATCCCTGCATCTCTTAAGGGGGAAAGCGACAAGGACAAACCGCAATCTAATATATCAGACTGAGCCGACACTACGGCTGATACATCAAGTTCAAGTTCACTTCTAGGTGGCTCTGCGATGAGGTCAAGGTCCTTGGGAGCTCACAGACATTTCTATACTCTACGCACCGATCTCACCTCGCTTCAACTGACCTCTAGCCAACCCAGGATGCTGGTGGGAAGAGTCATGAAAGGCAGTAAGATCAGGACAATCAGGGAGCGTGCGCAACCCTTTACGGCTCTAATTATATAAATTCAATGTATTAAGATAGTTCTTTGAAAAAAGTTAGATGACCCCTAATACAATGTTTCCACAGAAGCTGGAAGGGAACTACCAAGACAGATAAAAAACGGCCAAATATCCGAAGGTCTTGGGGATAGGGGAGGAGCAAGAGCAGAAACACCCAAATCAGTTCCTCAGAGGGAAAAGCAGAGGCCGGCCGAAGGCGGCCACGTGCACTTGCTAAGGGAACCGGTCCAAAGAAACCTGACCGGATCGGAATCAGCACGCCGCACCGCGGCTGCGTTTATCCTAACGGAACGCTACAAGTTGTTGCCCGCATCCCTCCTCCCAGCTTTGACACGGAACACGCGCGCTGCCCCCATGTCCACGGCTACCGCCAGACCCCTCTGCAGCCCCGCCAAGTCCCCAGGGCTAGGGGACGAGCGCAGGGCGAAGGCCCCTGGCCTCGGCCCACTCGACCCTCCACCGCAGCCCACCGGCCCCACCCAGCCCGGTTCTAGGCCAAAGCAAACCTCCACGTCCCTGCAGTGTTGACCGTTAGCACCCCAAGCTTACCTACAAGTCGGACCACCACCTTGGAGAGCCGGAGTCTTGCCGTGAGCACCACGCTGGGCGCAAGACCCCCGCCCATCCCCACTCAACCCGAATACTGCGGGGCTGCCGCGCCGCCGCCTCCAGGTGAGGGGCTGAGCCCCGCGCGCGCCGCAGCCCCGCCGCCTACCTTCTTCGTAGCGGGTTGCCGCGCCCCGCCGGTCGCCACCAGCCCTCCTCAACTCGGAGCTGACCCCGTCAAGAGACCGTGAGCGCCCGTGCGACCTCGGGGGAGACCCGGGAACCGAGCACCCGGGGGCGCCTGGGAAAGGCGACACCCCAATCTAGGGCCCCGGCCCCGCGGGGGGCGGGCTGCCTGCCGACCCGCGGCGGATGGAGATGAGGAGGGAGGCTGCTGGTCCGCTCCGAGAGTGATTACGACTCTAGCCGCGAAGGGTACCGGGGTGAGTTGGGAGACCGCGGTGCCACTGGGAATGCGTGCAAGTAAGGCGGGAGCGTTCTAGAACTAACGCAGCCGGGCCGTGAGCCTCGAGCGTTAAATTTCCGCGGCGTTCGGCTCCTGCGCCCCGGTGGCCGGCGCGGAGGGCGCGTTTGGTGAGCGGGGCTGCTGCTGCTGCTGCGGTGGCGGCGGCAGCGGCGGACGCGGGGCCCCGCTCAATGTCCTCACCTTCTTGGTGCCGGGGCCTCCCGCGATCCGAGACATTCCTGTCAGGGAAGAGGAGCGCCCCGGCTGCCCCCCTAGAGTCTCCTGCTGGGGGGACATCGCTTCCATGAAGAAGACTTTCAAGCTAATCCCAGCCCAGGAGGAGTCTACGCGGTCATATTCGCGGGATCGCGGCCGAAGGGGCGAGGACGCGCGGGGCCCAGGCAGCCCCGCGCTCAGGCAGGGAGCCAGGCTCCGGGTGCGGACAGCGCGCCTCCCGTCGGGGCCATGTACCGCCGCCTGCGCTAGACACCGCGGGCTGGAGGCGATTGCAGCGGCGCCCTCTCGCCCGCTCCCGCCGCGGCCCCGCCTAGGGCCCGCCCCCCGGCACTGGGCGCCCCGCGCCAGGACCCGCCCCGCCGCCTTCCCCCAGCCGCGGCACTCCCCGCGGCGGCCCGGCCTGCGGCGCTGCGGCCCGGCGGTTTTCTCTGTATACGTTAGGACACAGGCGACCGACTGACCTTCTCAGTCCACCACACCGAGTGGGTCCATCCTGAAGGAGCTTCGGGTTGGGTGCACCAACACGCGCCTCTCCACCCGCCCAGCCCACTCGCACCGACCCCATCCCTTTCCGCGCTGCGCCCGCGGGGGATGGCGCCACTGCAGCGGTGCAGCAGCGTAGCTGTGGCGACTTCAGCCTGAACGGAGGAGTTGCAGGGATTCCTGCCTCGCTTCCAGCGGACTGCAGAGGGGTCCCCCCACCCCCACCCTGGAGGCCTGGGGAAGGAGTTGCATGTCGCAGAGGGCCGTGGTTGTACACATTTGGAAGCTCACAGCATCGCCTGACCTCTTGTGCAATCCCGAGTTAGCCTGCCCGGGTCACCCTCCTTTGCTTCTACAGCCGCGGGTCAACAGCCCCTGCACAATTTGCACCAGCGGTTTCCGCTGACTGCGCGCCGCAAGGACAGGGGCATTCCAAACGTGAAAGCGCAGGAAAGGAAAATGCAGGCAGAGAGAGGACTGAAATTTGGCTCAGCTGTTGAGCAGGCTACAATAGGTGGAAGTGTTTATCAGATATCTGCGCCCAGAGCATAGCTTCCTGTCAGCCCAAATAGTGGCAAAATTTTTTAAGGCCAAAGAATAATCAGAGGAAGGGGATTTGGAGTCGATCGGGTTGAGTGTTGCTGCTGCATTTTGCAGGACTGTCTGACTGGTGCGGATGATTCGGTAGATGGCATTCTTCCTTTGGAGTCAGGCCTACATGAAGGGCAGATTAGTGGTGAAGGACACCACTCTATGATACTAGGTTGTTGAAGGAGGTTTGTTTACGTGGTAAGGAAAAAAAAAAAAAAAAAGATCGAGGTTCCTGCCGGGGTTGGACTATTATCAGAACAGGTTGTAGAAGAATAGAGCTTTCTGGCAAGCTCTGTTCCAAGCAGGAGGTGGTGTCCAAAACTCACATACCCACACACCCACACACCACCACCACCAGAAAGCCCCAGAATTGTTTATTGTGGAAGCAATGGGCAGAATATGTTATAGCCCATTTTAAGCCTTGCCCACATCATATTGTTTAAAGGAGACTTAAACTTTAAATCATATAAATCATTCTAATATAGATGTGTGTGTGTGTGTGTGTGTGTGTATTAACCGTCTTTTTGCTGCTTAGACTTATGTGCAGTGGCAGGACTTTGCACCCACCACAGTTTATCGTGAATTTTACACTGCAGAGGGTTTTGCATTTCCTTTCATTCCTTGTTGAAGTCATCCTATTATGATTCCTATCATGAATGGATGACCCCAGTTTTTCTTACTCTGTTTGATTTTTTATTTTGATTACTTATGTCCTTTTACTGTTTTATGTAATTTGCTTATTATTAATGTTTATGATCTGTCTCTGGATTCCAGAGGGCAGGAATCTTTTATTTGTTTTGTTTTTTTTGCTGTTCACTGTTGTATCCCAAGTGTCCAGAGTAGTATCTGGAACAATAAATGTTTGTTGGTTAAATGAATTAATGAGACACACACACAGAAAAAACTGAGATAGATACAAAAGGGCCAAGCTAGAGTTGGTTATTTCATTCTGAGAGTCCCATGTATTATCAGATCTTTCTTTTTGAGATAAATACTTCATACTCCATACTAAAGTATTATTTATACTGCATATATGAAAAACTCATTTTCACTTCTTAATTTATAAGTGCTTTCATTTCAAACTTTATTAGTTTTGATTTGCATAGAAAACAATCCTACCATTGTCTGATGAGGAGTTTTTCAGGAGGTCTCACTTCCCAAAGAAAATTGAGTTGGCTCGGATTAATATTATCACCAGAGTAATGTTTTAAGAACACAGATCTGACCCCATCGCTCCATTTCTTAATACCTTCTTTGGCAACTTGTGTCTATGGAATAAATTACAAATACAGTCGTCCTCGCCACTTTGCGCTTTGACTCTGGCTGCTTCATGCTATCGCGGTTTTTTCTGTATATACTAAATAAAGAATCCTACTTCGCAGAAATTCATTTATCATTGTAGAGTCTGGAACTAATTAATCGCGATAAATGAGGGCGGACTATACCGTAGCATGATATTCAAGGCTGCCTACAATCTGACACCTTAATCCCACTTTTTTCTCATATTGTTTCTTGCTTCAAGTCTCACCCTATTTTTTGCCTCATTGAGCTATTTGCACTTGCAAGAACTTGTCTTGACCTTTTACATGTTCATGACTTTGAACATGTTGTTTCCATGGTCTAGGATGGTTTGCTTCCATGTTTTCCAACCCCTATTGCTTTACATTTATTTATCTAGTGCATGATACATAGTAAATATCAAGCAGATATTTGTTGAGGAAGTAAATCTTCAAGACTTACATCAATAATTACTTCAGGAAAATCTTCCTGACTGTATTTTTCTTTATCTAGCTATCTACACACACTAACCACAGACAGGGTTAAATGTACCTTCAGTTATAGTAGCTGATAACGTTTATTGAGTGCTTACTTGATATTAAACACTGTTCTAAGCATTTTACATATATTAATTCACTTAATCTTTATATTAATACTACCAGGTAATATTCCCTTGCACTCCACTTTACAGGCTGAAAAATCAAATCGCATGTTAAATAACTTACTCAAACAGCTGGTAAGTAGTAAAGCCAAACTTGGGACCTGAGAAGTCTGTTCCAGAACTACTGCCCTTGACCATTTGGCTACACTGCCTTTCCTATGTATAGTTTCTTTTCTTCGTGGAGCATATTACACCATACTCTTATCTGTTTTACTTACCTGTAAGCTCTTTGAAGTTAAAGATTGTATTTTATTAGTCTTTACTTCTTTCTGCCAAGCAGACAAGTATGTTCTTAATGATTTTTTTTTCAGTGACTTACTTTTGAATGAATGAATCAAGTATTAGAAACAACCATCTTCATCATGTCTATAGTTTAAGGAAGATGCTCTGATGGGGAAGAAACAATTCTGGACTAGTCCTATTATTCCTTAGACAGTGAAACCATTTTCTCCGTACTGGGAATGTTATGTTGTAGAAAAGGATGATGCCATAAGACAAAAGTGATGATAAGGCAGTTGAAGGAATGGTGCCCATGTCTGACACAAGCAGGATACATCCAGAATACTTTGAAACAAACTGTAAAGCAAAATACTAAGAATAGCAACATTTAACAGCTGGGAAAAGCCAATGGCAGACCTTCAACAGGAGCTAATCTAAGAATGAAACCAAAATGTTTTCCAAACATTGTATTGAAAAATGATGAATAAATTTAACTACAAAAGATGTCCATGCAACTCATTCATTCAAGGTATATTTATTGTGTACCTGCTATAAGTTAGATGCTCTGCCAGGTGCTTGGAGCACAGTCAAAATGACCCCACAGGTATATAGTCCTTTTAAGTCCCAGGATGCATACAAGAATCAGTGGCAGTGCTACCCAAACATCCTAGAGCAGAGGTTGCAAACTGATGGCTCACAGACTGAGTTTAGGCATGTTTTTTGCAATACACTTTTTAATTTTCAAACTTGTTGCAAACCTTAAAAATTAGGATATTTCACATAGAAATCTGGGTTCTCTTGAAAAAAGTCCCTTGAAAATATTGGCAATCCTGAGCTCAATTTTTTCAGCACAACAATCAGTTAAAGCTGAGTTGTAGCTGTGTTATCACATCTCATGCTCATGACATTCCTGTGGTTGTCATAGTCTCCGCTGTCTCTACTGCTGGGAAACTAGTAACAAGTAAGGTAATGGAAGATGCAAAACTGGCAAGAGAGAGAGGAAGCCAGAGAAACATAAGTGTGTGTGTGCTTACATGCACATGTTTTAGAGGCAAAATAATGTTTTTCAAGAAGAGAAATGGTTTACAGTATCATATTGTAAGAGATCAAGCTCTCGCTGAGGTGACTATGAGCATTGATATAAGCGAGATACTGACTTTACTTATCAAGATCAGATGTGGGATTTTTTTCTTCCCTTGGTTAGAATTGCAAAAGGGGCTATTTCCTCAAATAACATAATCCCAGTTCTAAGGGTAGAATCTAATGATGTGGGAGACAAGTTAGGAAAGAGGAGGAGGAAGATAGAGGATGTTATGAGCTGACAATGGAAAAAGAGCCAGGGGCCAGACTATGAAGAACCTTGGATTCCATGGTAAAAATATGGACATTATTCTCTAGGGAAAGTGGTTAAAAGGGAACTGGCAGGGTTGCGTGCCTACCATGTGTTATGTATACCTTACATATATTATCTCATTTAATCGTCACTGTCCACCATAGAGGTAGTTGTTATTATACTTATTTTAAATATAAAGATGAGGCTCAGAGAAATTAAGCAACTTTCTGAGGTCATACAACTAGTAAGTGATGGAGACAGGATTTGAACCTAGATCTGATTGAGTACAAAGACCATATTTTTCTGATGCCAACAGTATTATTATTGATAACAGCCAACATTCATTGATAGGGATGTGGAGATATGGCTTTGATAGTGAAACACTATCATAATCTTCAAAACAACCCCAGTGGCTTGTATATTTATGCCCACTAGACAAAGAGCCTGGTACGCAATAAAGCTACTTGTTGAAGATCATATGGCTTCTGAATGCAAGAACCAGAATCAAACCCAGGACACTAAAACCCATGTTCTTTACCACTACACTTGATGGTACTGTCTTCTTTTTATTCCTTAGGACTGAAAATTATTATGAATTGTGCTGCATCCATGTAAAACTATGTGTGAACCCCAAACCCTTCTACTTAGTCCATGGTCAGCTTGCTCGCTGGTCAGAGGATTAGCATAATC